GTGGGGGGTGGCTCTTCTGGGGAGGCCTGCGTGGGGGATGGCTTTGAAGAAAACACAAGCAGCCTGTGGAGCAGAGTGGGAGAGAACGGTGGAAGGGGGCTGAGGCAGACCCCCTCACCCATCCTCCATCCACCCTGCAGCCCTCCGGGAGGATTTCCAGGTTCAGCCTCGGGACATGGTGGCCACGGTGGGCGAGCAGGTTACTCTGGGGTGCAGACCGCCCTGGGGCCTCCCGGAGCCCACAGTCTCATGGTGGAAGGACGGGAAACCCCTGGCCCTACAGCCAGGGCAGCACAGGGTGAGGGTAAACCCTGTCCCAGACCTCATCCTGCCCTGGGCACGGCTGGGCACACCCTGAGGGACTGATCTGCCCCTCCAGCCCCACCTCCCTGGGCAGAACGGGAGAACAGGTGGCAGTGGGAGACTCCCACCGTGGGAGGCATCACAATGTCCCTGGCCCTGACAGGTGTCTAGGGGTTCCCTGCTGGTGGCAAGAGCAGAGAAGAGCGACTCGGGGACCTACATGTGTGTGGCCACCAACAATGCTGGGCGGCGGGAGAGCCGGGCCGCCTGGGTGTCTGTCCTGGGTAAGTAGGGGTCAAGGCAGGGGGCTCCGATTAGACTGATATGATCCGCTCTTGGCTGGGGTGACGGTACGCTGGGCTCAATCTGGGCCCAAGTTGTGGGGCATTTAGTCGGAGAGTTCCCCATCTAGAATAAATACAGGAGTACTGTAAAACCAAACCAAGCCCACTGCCGTCGAGTCGATTGCCACTCATAGCGACCCTATAGGACAGAGTGGAACTGCCCCATCGGGTTTCCAAGGCTTAGGTCTTTACCGAAGCAGACTGCCACATCTTTCTCCACGGAGCGGCTGGTGGGTTCAAATCACCAACCTTTTTGTTAGTAGCCGAGTGCTTAACCACTGTGCCACCAGGGCTCCCTAGGAATGCTCTAGACCTGGGAAATTGGGAAATTATGGTTTGTCAGTGGCTGGGGGATGTCCCACCCCTCAATTCCTTCACTCTGGCCTGTGAGCCCTATTTCCAGCCTGATGTTCCCCCAGAACCCCAGGACCACAAGGAACCCCTGGAGCTCCTGGCGGTGCGCGTTCAGCTGGAAAATGTGACCCTGCTGAACCCCGACCCTGCAAAGGGCTCCAAGCCGGGGCCCGCTGTGTGGCTCAGCTGGAAGGTGAGGCCCAGGACCTCAGGGTGGAAGCCAGCCCGGAACTCAGGAAGGGCTGGTGTGAGCTCCCTGACCCCTTGCCCTCCCCCATGAACCCCTCAGGTAAGCGGTCCTGCCGCGCCTGCTCAGTCCTACACAGCCTTGTTCAGGACCCAGCCGGCCCCGGGAGGCCAGGCCGCTCCGTGGGCAGAAGTCCTGCTGGCCGGCTGGCAGAGCGCAGAGCTTGGGGGCCTCCACTGGGGCAGAGACTACGAGCTCAAAGTGAGACCCTCCTCTGGCCGGGCTCAAGGCCCTGACAGCAATGTGCTGCTCCTGAGGCTGCCGGAACAAGGTCAGGGACAGACTCCCCACGGCCCAGCAGGATGTCTTTGGCCTCTTCTTCTGTCCCGCTCCAGTCAGGGGGGTGGTGGGTCCTGCTCCTGGACTCCCTTCTGCACAGCCTGGGCAAGCAGCGGTGCAAGAGGCTCCTAGTCCCATAAGGGTGGGCTCAGGCCCTTGGGACTCTGCCTCTGTGTCCTCCGTTACAGCCCTTTTCCCTGGAGCCTCTCCTCATCACCCCTTACGTCCTCTCCTCCTCCCCTCCAGTGCCCAGTGCCCCTCCCCGGGAGGTGACCCTGAAATCTGGCAATGGCAGTGTCTTTGTGACCTGGGTCCCACCACCTGCAGAAAACCACAACGGCATCATCCGTGGCTACCAGGTATTCCCTCCAAGCTGACACACGCTTTCCTTGAGGACCCAGGTGTCCTCTCTCTCCTGGAGTCCTCCGCACTCTTGCTCCGGGCCCTGAGACACACGACCACAGGACCCCTGCAGAGAAGCAAAGGAAACACATTTGTTGAGCAAGAACCTGCTGCCTCAGATGCTCAGGTGGCACTCCCTGTAAGGCGGGGGTGCTCCCTGTAAGGCGGGGGTACTCCCTGTAAGGCCGGGATGCTCCCTGTAAGGCGGGGGTGCTCCCTGTAAGGCCGGGATGCTCCCTGTAAGGCGGGGGTGCTCCCTGTAAGGCGGGGGTACTCCCTGTAAGGCCGGGATGCTCCCTGTAAGGCGGGGGTGCTCCCTGTAAGGCCGGGATGCTCCCTGTAAGGCGGGGGTGCTCCCTGTAAGGCGGGGCGGGGTGGTGCTCAAAGTGTTGTTTCTGAGCCAGCAACAGTAGCATCGCCTGGGAACTTGTTAGAAATGCACATTCCTGGTTCCTGCCCCAAGCCTGATGGGACACTGGTGGTTCAATGGTAACACTCTCCTTTCATTTGGGAGACCCCAGTTCAATTCCCGGCCAGTGCACTTCACGCACAGTCACCACCCATCTGTCCGTGGAGGCTGTGATGCTGAACAGGCTTCAGCAGCGCTTCCAGACAAGATGGAGCAGGAAGAAGGGCATGGGGATCTCCTTCTGAAAATCAGCCAGTGAAAACCCTGGGGATCACTGCCGTCTGATGTGATTATGGGGTGGAGCAGGACTGGGCAGCAGAAGGGAAAGTGCCTTTGCACATGGGGTCACCAGGAGTCCAGAGCCAAGTCAATGGCAGCAAACAAAGATGTCACCTCAGGCCTCTTCAGTCAGAAACTCGGGCATGGGGCCAGCAAGCTGTAGTTTAACAAGTGTTCCAGGTGACTCTGAAGCACACCAAAGTTTGAGAAGCTTGTTCTAAGGCAAATTGTGGCAGATTACCTTTTAGTCCCTCTTCTGTCAGTGCAAGACAGAGTAGAACTGCCCCACAGGGTTTCCAAAGAGTGGCCAGTGGATTCAAACTGCCAGCCTTTTGGTTAGCAGCCAAGTACTTAACCACTGCACCACCAGGGCTCCAGTGCTTTGGAGGGGGAAGGGAATAGGATGTGCGGGTGCATGTGGGGTATCCCCAAGTAGATGGCAGGGCAGACCAACCATGTGCCAGAGTCTAATTTAGAGATGACGGGCCCAGCGGCTGGGACGGTGCCAGGAAACAGCTGCCCACCTCTGCTTGTGCCCAGGTCTGGAGCCTGGGCAACACCTCACTGTCCCCAGCCAACTGGACCGTGGCAGGCGAGCAGACCCAGCTGGAGATCGTCACCCACAAGTCGGGCTCCTACTGTGTGCAAGTGGCTGCAGTCACTGGTGCTGGGGCTGGGGAGCCCAGTAGCCCTGTCTGCCTCCTTTTAGGTGAGGGCAGTGCCCCCCAGCCCTTCCCACACCCCTCCACACTCATTTCCACCTTCCTCCCTCCCTGCTTCCACCCTCACACGTCCGGCTCTCCCCCTGTCTGCTCCATCCTTATTGCCTCACCTGCCTCTCCCCCTGAGCTCCAAATCCCATACAGAGCAGGCCATGGAGCGAGCTGTCAAAGAGCCCAGTGACCACGGTGCCTGGACCCTGGAGCAGCTGAGGGCCACTCTGAGGCGGCCGGAGGTCATCGCCAGCGCAGGGGTCATGCTCTGGTTGTTGCTGCTGGGCACTGCCGTGTGTGTCCATTACAGGCGCCGAGCTGGGGTGCACCTGGGCCCAGGTGAGAAGGTAGGGACCCCCAGGTGGTGAGACATCCCCTGGGCCCAGGCACAATGCTTCAGGGGGGTTAGATCTCTGGCCAGCTGACGGAGATGTTGGATTTCACCTTCCTCCTGCCTGCTTCCAGGTCTATACCGATATACCAGTGAGGATGCCATCCTAAAACACAGGTGAGAGACAAGAGGCGGTCCCGGGATGGGAGAGGGGCAGAGGGGACCAAGGGACAGTGGAGCTGGGCCAGAGAATTGGATGGAGTACCAGTCTCCCTACTGTCACTCAATTTGGGATCCTAGTTGCTGAATCTCCCTAAACTCCAAGCGAGAATTAATTTCTCTTTCATTAATGTTCTTATCACACCACCTGACAGGTGAGGAAACTGAGACTTACGTGAGTCAAGTGGCTTTCCTGACGCTGCACAATTGGTAGATGGCCTTCTGAATCCTAACCCACTGTGCTTTTCGACAGCCTCTTACTAATACACAGTGCACTCTGCTGCCTCAGTCTACTAGATGGAGGGTGACGAGCGCGAGAGGCCCAGGTCTAACTCCTAATGTTCTCTGTACGCCTAGTGTCTACCTTGGCCTTCAGTAAATACGACCTAGTGAGCAATGTTGTCTGCGCTGTAATCTACCTACAGTGCCAGCAGAGGGCGTTCTCCCCTACATCATACATCTTCCTCACTGTTCCCAAAAGCAGGGCCTGCCTGTTCCAAGTGTGTTGGCTCCCAGAGCAAATGTGGGGCTGTGAAAGAAGATACTAAGAAAGAAAAAAAACCCTTTTCTCCCACTGGCTGAGTTTTACACTAAGTAGCCATTCGCTCTGTCTGCCCTGTTTGCTCTTGCTCCTCACCTTGGTGTATTTCCTCTTGGAGGCTTCCCATCTGTCTTAGTCATCTAGTGCTGCTCTAACAGAAATACCACAAGCGGATGGCTTTAACAAAGACAAGTTTATTTCCTCACAGTAAAGTAGGCTAAAAGTCCAAATTCAGGGCGTCAGCTCCAGGGGAAGGCTTTCTTTCTCTGTCGGCCCCGGGGGAAGATCCTTGTCATCAATCTTCCCCTGGTCTAGGAGCTTCTCAGCACAGGGACCTTGGGTCCAAAGGACATGCTCTGCTCCTGGCTCAGCTTTCTTGGCGGTATGAGGTCTCCCTATCTCTCTGCTGTCTTCTCTCTTTTATATCTCAAGGGATTGCCTCAGGACACAATCCAATCTTGTAGACTGAGTCCTGCCTGCTGCCCATCCTCACTCACTAACGTCATAGCGGCAGGATTTACAACGTATAGGAAAATCACACAGTACGGGGAATCACGGCCCAGCCAAACTGATCCACACATTTTTGGGGAGACATAATTCAATCCATGGCACTATCCCGGGTCTGCATCTTTTAGCAGATGTTTACTGAGCACCTACTGTGTGTCAGACACACACACACGGGCCTTGGGCTGCCATTTTGCTCGAGTTAATCTGCCAGTTTATCAGCCCAGAGGAAGGCGCCACGTGGGCTGGTACTATTTTCCTGGGTTTTCTTTGGCTTGCTGGCCCTTCCCTTCCAGCTACTTTCTGGGCTTTGCCAGCTCTGCCTGAAGGGTCTCTGGCTCCCCTGGGACCTTTTCCCTTGTACTGGAGGGAGATTCCCATCTGGTCATTTTGTTCATGGCTTTAGAACAACCTCCATCTGCCAGGAGCTCTCAGCCTAGGCACAGGCAGCCGTGTAAGCATGAGCACAGTCAGGGGTTGGCAGGCCCACAACAGAAGAGTGTGCAGGACACACGGAGGGGGCTAAAGTGGAGAGACATAGCAGGAGGGAGATCCCACAAGTACCCTGACAGCAAGAACGGGAAAGGCAGAGGGAGCAGCAAGAAACAGCCCACTTGGCCACAGGGAAAGGCAAGATATTTGGTGTGGCTGGGGCATCCGGTGTGAGATGGGTCAGCGCGAACAGTAAGTTAGGGAGCCGGGAGCCCTGTCGAAGGGCGCTCTCTTGGTAAACGGAGAGCCGATGAAGGTTTTGGGGGCAGAGAAGTGCCTTGGTCAGATCCCCGTTCTTGACAGCTCTCTCAGGTATCCAGCGTGGTACCTGGCTCAAAAGAAACAAGACCAAAAGCCAATATTCATGTAGCAAGCTCCTGCTCTACAGCCAGGTGGCCTCACATTTCCCCACTCAACCTCGTAGCATTAACCTATACGTACGGAAGGCACTATTGTTCCCATTTTACAGATGAGGAAACTGGGGCTTAGAGAGGCTCACAGGCTTGCTGGCCCAGAGGTGCCCAGCTAACTTGGGGGCAGATGCAGTTTCCAGCCTGTTGGGTCTGGTTTTGGATCTGCTGGTCTTGCCTCTCAGCACACACAGCTGTGTCTCATTAATGCCTCCTCGCTCTGGGTGCTTGGGCTTTCCCTGATCCCAAGAGAGAAAGGGGCATTTGCCACGTCAGAGGTCTCGGAGGTCTGTGCAGGGCTTCTCAACCCCTCTGCTACCTTCTGAGCTGGAGGTCTTGGCCATGTAGGTTCTTACTTCACCCCTCTTTCTCCCTGCCCCACCCCTGCCCCACCACTGCCCCAGGATGGACCACAGTGACTCCCCCTGGCTGGCAGACACTTGGCGTTCCACCTCCGGCTCCCGGGACCTGAGCAGCAATAGCAGCCTCAGCAGCCGTCTGGGGGTTGACCCCCGAGACCCTGCGGACTGCCGTCACTCCTGTGAGCATGCCCAGTAGGGAGAAGGGCCTGGGGTGGAGCAAGGATCCCAGGGACGAGTGGGATGGGATGGGATGGGCTCACCATAATTCCTCTTGTCATTGCAGTGATCTCCTGGGACTCCCGAAACCCCGGAGTGCCCCTGCTTCCAGACACCAGCACTTTCTATGGCTCCCTCATTGCCGAGCTGCCCTCCGGCCCCCCAGCCCGGCCAAGCCCCCAGGTCCCAGCCGTCAAGTGCCGCCCGCCCCAGCTGGCCCGGCTCTCCAGCCCCTGGCCCAGCGCAGACAGCCTCTGCAGCTGCCGGGGGCTCGCTTCTCCTCACTTGTCTCTGGCCCCTGCGGAGGCCTGGAAGGCCAAAAAGAAGCAGGGTAAGGATGGGGGGGACCCGTGGAGCCTGCGGCTGCTGGTGGAGGGATGAGGAGGGGCATGTGACGGGAACTACTTCTGGCCTCGGGCTGGGTGTGTGCTGCACTCCACCCACAGCTCAAGTCTCCTTTCCTGGTGTGCACAGGCCTCTTCCCCATCACCCAGGCTCTCAGCTGGGAGTGTGCTGTCCGGCTTTTCTTTACACCTTCGTCTTCTTTCAGTTGGGCCACACCTGTAGCGGGCCCTGTTTCTGAAGCTGATTCAACTCTGCCAACATTTAATAAACACCACTGTATGCCAGGGACACGAGAGAGAGCAGACACAGCCCCTGCCGGCTGAGGGCTCACAGTCCAATGAAAGTGGCTGGCTAGCATACAAGTAATTCTAGAGTCTGGCAGAACATGGCCCCATGAACACAGCTCCAAGTGCACTAGGAACGGGCCTGCTCCGGCACCTGACTCCCAACTCACTTCTCAGAGAAGAATGAGTATTCCCTTTCTGGGCCAGATTTCTCCCCTGATTTCAGGCTGCTGGCTTGGACTTTCCAAGAGACCAATGATTATCGTCTGCATTTATTTAGCAACTACTGTACACCAGGTGGGAGCCCTGGTGGCGCAGTGGTTAAGAGCTCGGCTGCTAACCGAAAGATCGGCAACTCGAATCCATCAGCCGCTCCTTGGAAACCCCGTGGGGCAGTTCTACTCTGTCCTGCGGGGTTGCTGTGAGTCGAAATAGACACAACGGCAACGGGTTTGGTTTTTTTAATACGCTAAGTGCATTACTTACGCCTGTTGTTTCATTGAATCTTCACACCATTTTGGCTAGGTGTTGTCTCCCTGATTTCACAGAAGGGGAAACAGTTTCAGAACGATTCACTTGTTCAAAACCCCACAAGTCAGTGAGCTGCAGAGCTCAAATTTGAAGCTTATATGATTTGTTCCAAAGTCTACTCTAACTCTGGGGGCTCCCTTGGGAAATGCTGTTCCCTCATTAACTATTTCCTCCCACTTCTGAAGCCCGGCCTGCACCCTACCTGGTGTCCCCATAAGTCTTCTATACTGACTAGTAAGCCTTGTTGTTAGCTGCTGTCGAGTCGGCCCCCAAATCGTGGTGACCCCATGCACAATGAGATAGGACCATTGTGATTCGTTGGCTGATTACTGGGAAGTAGATCACCAAGCCTTTCTTCCTAGTCTGGAGGCTCCTCTAAAACCTGTTCAGCATCATAGCAACATCCAAACCTCTACGGACAGACACGCATGAGTTGCATTGGCCAGGAATCCTACTCTAGTCTCCCTTATGAAAGATGAGAATTCCACCAAGAAGACTTACAAGGGTCTATAGGCAGTTCTGAAGGGGTGTTCCGATTCAGAGACGAGGCTTTCTAACCTGTTGTTTCAGTTTCCATTCACCCCGTTTCCCTTCACCCCAGCCCTACCCCACCACTGCCCCAGGATGGATCCACCACAATAGCTCCCCTCAGCTGGCGGACACTTGCTGTTCCACCTCTGGCTCCCGGGACCTCAGCAGCGGCAAGATGGTGCTCTGATCTTGTGCAGAGCATGGTGTCGGCCTCTATAGATTTTCCCTCAACTCTGCTGCTGCCACCTAGTCCAAAAGCCGGACCCTTCTTCCTCTTCTCAAACCGGCAGGCTTTCTCACCCGCTCCCCACCCCACCCCCACTCCCACCCTGAGCTACTTGTTCCTTTTTCATATTAGTTGACCTTAGCTGGGTTTTTCCCTCCAAGACTGGCATTCTCACAACGGCACTCTCCCTTGCCTCATCCACCTATCAGGATCTTCGTCCTGCTCGCTTGGCCAAGTATATACAATTGATATCCTCATTCATTCATTAATTCACTCAAACCAATATTTATTGCAATTCAGGTATGCCCAGTGAGACTTGCCCTTTCACCCTGTAACGCTTTTACTGTATAGTTTATTCAAGTACACATTGAAACTAAAATTCAAGTAACTCCAAGCAAGGTAGGAGCAGGCCTTTGTTACTAGGGTTCCTTAGAGGGAAACAAAATGGGCTGGGATAAATATGGCCTTTTCCAGGCCTGACTCTTTCCCTTGCTTTTCCACTCAAACCAACCAACCAACAAGTGCACCCACTTCTGGATTTAGTCAAGAAGCCAGACATTAGACAAGACAAAGCTAATGATAGGAGAGTTGGAGAAGCACCCATGAAGCTGGCGTCCAGGACTCCCTAGACCATACAACAACTAAGGGAAATAAATAGACATCAACCCAGCCGAAGTACAAAAGGGAACTTTCATGGAGGAAATCTAGCAATTGTGTGGGTTTTCATCCCAGTGCATCAGAAGGTCTGGCCACTGTGCATCGATTCCCAGTGCCCAGGTGGGGATTTGGTCAATGCTGAAGCCTGGTCTCTTTCCTGCTCTGAACCTGCCCATGGTGACCCTCAAATCTTCCCTCTGAGTTCAGATTGACTAGACAGCTCTGCCTTCTAGGGTCCTGCGTGGTATCTTGTCCGCCAAGGAGGGACAGCCTTTCCTAACTGGAGTTCTGATCACGTACCACTAATCTGAGGGTTGCTTCTTTTTTCTTTGCTTAATGTTCTCCTGGTTCCTGGTCTTGAGAAAACCTCTTCCCTGTTCCTCTCTGCCTTAAACCTAGAGCCACTTAGGTTCTGGTCTGACCGAGAAGTGTGCTTACAGGTCATTGCGGACGGCTGGGTCTGTTCTCTCAGTTACTTGAGTTCCTCTCTTGTCAGAGTTTACCCAGAGCCCTGTCTCTTAGGTGATCACATGGGCCAGATAACTGCTATCTTGTATCTGATTGTGTCACATTGTGTTGACATCCAGATCTTGGATATAATTCATTCATTCATTCATTCAACAAATATTAATGAGTATCTATGAATGGGACGAGTCCAGCACATTTTCCCATTCTAAAGTTCTTCTTCCGGTCAGCTGACTCTCTCCTGTCACACCTGGCATTGTCTAGGGCTCCTTGTTTTTGCCTTACCCATTTAGCTCAACTTGACAGTCCAGCTCATCTCCCCAAGTGACAGACACTAATGTCTCCCAGGGCAGGGCTCTCCAGAACCATGTGAAAGATTTGCAATGTAGGAAATGGAATGAACATTTCCACCCAAGAGAAGGAAGAGCAGTTGTCTTCTTAGAGCTGAAATTCATAAGAACAGTAGTAATGTGAGGGTATAGAGATCAGGAAGACTGGACTGTATAAAGAAAAAAGAGTACTGCTTTTTGAAGTATCCATTAGGTACTAGGGGAGTCCTAGTAGCACAGTGGTTAAGTGTTCGGCTGCTAACCAAAAGGTCAGCAGTTCGAATCCACCAGCCGCTCCTTGGAAACCCTAGGGAGCAGTTCTACTCTGTCCTATAAGTTTGCTATGAGTCGGAACTGACTCAATGGCAATGGGTTTGGTTTGGTTTTGGTATTAGGTACCAGGAACTTTCCAGTCTGTTTTATTTAATAGTCAAAACCATTGTTTGAAGCCTTAGTTATAAATGAAGCTAAGGCTCAGAAATGTTAATGGATTTATCTGAGGTCACATAGCTTATACGTGGCTGAGCCGGGCTATGTATGAAGGTCCTTTGACTCCAAGTCAGATGCCCTTTCCACCCTATCACAGCTCCCTGGATGAAGGTGGGAAGGGGTGGAGAGGATGGACGGAGGTTCTTTTCTCTTTTCTCTGGGTTCATGGTTCCATAGGCTTCACTGAATAACAAAGCTAAAAATGGACCCTAAGGTTGGGATCTGAAAGGCCCATCTGGCTTGTCCTCCAACCACCGACTCTTTCCTTTGCAGAGCTGCACCAGGCCAACAGCTCCCCACTGCTCCGGGCCAGTCGCCCCATGGAGCTCTGGGCCTGGGAGTTGGGGGGCAGAGGCTCGAAGAACCTTTCCCAAAGCCCAGGTGAGAGGTAGGCCCTGAGAAGGAAGAGAGGGGTAGGCATAGTGCAGGGGCCCACCAGCCCAAGCCCTGTACCTGGCTTCTCCTGTCCCTGAGGAAGTCCTGGCTGGGTGAGTGGTCTGGGGCTGCTGGGCTCTGCCGTCCTCACGTCTAGGTTGCTGTTCGCCAGGAGCTGTGCCACGAGCTCTGGTTGCCTGGCGGGCCCTGGGACCCCAGCTCCTCAGCTCCTCAAATGAGCTGTCTACTCGTCCCCTCCCCCCGGCACCGCCTTCTCCTCATGGAACCCCCACGCAGAGTCAACAGACCCAGTAAGAGGGCACGGGGTCAGGAAGCAGTGCTGGAGGGTTGGGGGGATGTTTGCTGGATTGGATGGGAGCTGGGAGAGGGGTGGACAGGGGACGCGAGAACTGCACTAACCATCCTACCATGACTCTCTTACCCAATCAGGCACTTGGTGGAGTCCCAAGCTTCCTCCTCCCTCCCACTACCAGCAGTCCCCACCCCTACCCTTATCCCCTCAAGTCCCCCCAGCCCCTCCAGCCCCCGGGCCTCTTCCCTCTCTGGTCCCAGCCTGGCTTCCAGTCGCTTATCCAGCTCTTCACTGTCATCCCTGGGGGAAGATCAGGACAGTGTGCTGACCCCTGAGGAGGTGGCCCTGTGCCTGGAGCTCAGTGAAGGTGAAGAGACCCCCAGGTGAGTAGCCTGAGGGCTATCCCAAGCACTACAGATAGGCCTACTAGAGGGGTATGCTTACTGGCCCCCATCTCACCCTTCCTCAGTTGGAGTGTTTCTGCTACTATCCACCCTACCCAACCTTAACCATTTTTCTGTCTCCCATTTTGCCTCTTCCTAGGAACAGTGTCTCTCCTGTGCCAAGGGCTCCTTCACCTCCCATCACCTATGGATACATCAGTGTCCCAACAGCCTCAGAGCTAGCAGATGTGGGCAGGGCTGGACGAGGGGTAGGGTCCGAGGTGGGTGGCCTGCTGTGCCCACCTCGGCCCTGCCCCACCCCCACACCCAGCGAGGGCTCCTTGGCCAATGGCTGGGGCTCAGCCTCTGAAGACAACGCCCCCAGCGCCAGAGCCAGCCTCGTCAGCTCCTCCGATGGCTCCTTCCTCGCTGATGCCCACTTTGCTCATGCTCTGGCAGTGGCTGTGGACAGCTTTGGCTTTGGTTTGGAGCCCAGGGAGGCAGACTGTGTCTTCACTGGTACGTGAAGTCACCCCTGTCTTACTCCTCACCTCTCACCTCTTGGAGTGGACGCAGCTCTGAGAAAACTGCCCCCCTTCTCCCCAACCAAGAGACAAAGCTTCCTATTCACCTTCATCATTGTTGTCTTCGTAGATGATTACTGTTTTCCAGGCACTGTGATAAGTGCTTCGTGTACATTTAATATTAACAACAACTCTATGAGGGATATTCTTTATCCCTCTTTTCCAAATGAAGAAACTGTAAGTCAGATAGGGTTATTAACTTCCCAAGATCACTCACAAGAACAAGGACAAATTGTTTTAAAGCCTCTAGGCAGCTCTCCCTTGCCTTACCCAGACTCTCCTCTTACCCAGAGCTGGGTCTCCAGCAATGGCTGCTCCACAGACTCTTCTGTTAACTTGAATCCAGTGTTTCACATGCCTCCTCTATATTGGGAAATCCCATTTTCTTTCTGACCTCCTGCTGGGCTGAGGAGCAGCTGGACTCACACCCTCACGTATCCAGCAGCGTGGGGCCACTATCTCCACGTCAGCAGAAGGTAGCTCAGGGCTTCCCAGGTCCATTGTGTTCTCTTCCCTGTATAGCTCATCAGATCCCCCATGTCCATCTCACTAACCCTAATTCTACCCTATGTCCCCAGGAAAGATAACCAGGCTTGTGGTAAACTTGAGGGCAAGAATTATTCAAGACACAAATGGCCCATAATGGAGGGAGAAGAAGGGTGCTCAGGGAGGAGGCCAGAGCTGGGCTGGGAGGAAATGGTTCAAGCAGTTCCCTCTAAAGAGACCAGTGGACCATCTTCCTTCTCCTGGGGGTTGGGGCCCCTAGGGCTATGACCACCAGGATTGATGGCTGAGTTGGGGCTAGGTTAGCTTTAGGACTGGGTGTGTGCCATGAGCCAGCTGCCCTAAGCTGGTCCCTCGGGGCTGAAGGCCAACCCCCCACAGACATCTCTGCCTTCCCTGACAGATGCCTCATCGCCGCCTTCCCCCCGGGATGATCTCTTCCTGACCTCGAGCCTATCACTGCCAATGTGGGAGTGGAGGTCAGACTGTTTGGAGGACATGGAGAACAACCATATCCAGCAGCTGGGAAGGGGCCTTCCTCCATGGCTCCGCAACTCCCGCATCTCTTCCCAGAGAAGTCGGCACGGCTATCCGATGCCCAAGGCCAGAGGTGGGTGTCCATCAGAGTAGAGCCAAGAGGGAGCCTGGGATCCAGCAGGAGAGATAATGAGCTGGGGATAACCCCACTCTCCTTCCACTTCTCCTATAGACTTCTGCTGAACAGTGTCCTGAGACTGCTGAGCAGAGCTTCAGAAACCCCGCCTGTCATGAGACTGCTGAGCAGAGCTTCAGAAACCCCGCCTGTCAGCGCACAAGGCCCGGGCTTCTCTCTGCGGTTGAGGTCTCCCTTCCCCCTACCTCCAGGAGAGCTCTCCTTCAGGGATTGTGAAAACCAAAGAAAGCAAAACGAAATAAGAGCAAAGCACACCTGGAGTCCTGGAGAGCAAAACGTCATCTCCACACGACTCACTTGCTTTTTTTCTCTGCTCCATCTAATCCCCCAACCAGGTCTTTTGGCCTAAGACATGGCCCTTTCCTCTAATCTCCCCACTTGCTTGGGAGTCGGGGCCAGAGGTGTCTTCCTGGAAGACAACAGTGGTTGTCCAGAAGGGGGCTGTGGAGAAAGGAGCTTCTCAGAGCATCTCCCCCTCAGCTTCACCAGGATCATTCCTGCAGAGGCAAGCCCCAACGCTCTCCCCAACCACACCATGTAAGTGAAATAAAGAGAAATGCTATGGAGGCAGCAAGGCCCTACCTCAGTGCCAAGACAAGGGTTCAACACTGGCTCTGGGGAGGAAGCTGAAGTGGGGGGGAGGCATGCAGATGTGGGACAAAAGCACGTTCCTCATATTGTCGTCACTATGATCTTAAGGAATTTGATGTGGTGAAACCATAATGACTTGAGTCCTGTGAGACTTCAAACAATGGCGCCATTTTGGGGATGGCAACTCAGAACATGGGAAGAGGTAACTGAGCTAGAAAGGGATGAAGCATTCATTGACACTCAGGGAGCGTCACTCATTTCTGTTCTGCAACTGGGGACAAAACTACATGCACCCATCAAATTTTAAAGAGACACTAGGAAAGGGAGGGGTGGAAGATTTTCGGGGTCTGCTGGTGCTGGCAACTTATCCTAAGAAGACAACTAACTCCTGCTTTCAGAGATTCCAGCAGCCCACTCCCCAAAGACCAGGCCCAGATGGTTCCTTAGACAGACAGAGTAGCTACATCCCACAAAAGGTAGACCCGCCTTTAATGGTTAGCTAGTGAAGACCCTTCAGACCAAAAATCAGAGCAGAGACATGGACTGTGGAGCAGGACTTCCAGGGCCCTGAGCTACATAAAGCTACTGGAGGGCAGGGAGGCCAGACTCTTCTTCACTTGGTGGGAAAGATCGGGTCAGAATCCACAGACTGAGGGGACACTGCAGGGCATGACCAGGACCACAGGAAAACACCTTCAGCAAGGGCTAACTATGAAGCAGGTCTGCAAGGGAGTTCTAACCCCCAAACCCAGCAGCTCTGTTGGGAAGTCCTTTTGAGAGGCTATGGGAGGGGGGATGAGGGACGAGGTACTTCCTGAGCTATGTGAACCAGGCCAGTCCAGGGCTGGATTTCATGATCTCAAGATGAAGAATCTGCACTCCGGATACATATCCATTCCTCTCTATTTACTTTTCCTTTTTTTGATTTTGTATTTCTTTTAGCTTCCTGGTAAAGTTCCTCTGGAAAGCATTTCGACCCTGCTTGCCAGACCTAAGGGGAATGAGGAACTGTACATACTTAGGTCAAAGTGGCAAGAGAAGTCAGAGAGCCTGGGCTTGGAGGGGCAGCAGCCAGCTCCTTAGAGGCCACAGCAGCCACTGAGCCAGGGGGCAGAGCACGAGAAGGAAGCAAAGCTTCTTGGGGGTGAGGGGTCACGAACTTAGAGGCCTTCTGGAGGTGGCTGGTAACCAGTGAGGGGTGTGGGCTGCGTGTAAGGGAGGGAGACTATGGCATTCATGGCCAAAAGGTTAAAATTCTGTGCCAGCCAAGCCACCCATGTCTGAGCCTAATCTGGCCAAGTTTGCACACACCCTCTGTGAGGGGGTCGGGATGTCTGAAAAAGTTTGTTCTTCTCTTGCCTGGGTTTCCCCCATAAACCTCTTCTTTCTTTGAGTTGTAAAAAAATGATTATTATTGTCAAGGGCATGTTCCCTTATAGGCGAGCAGATCTGCCCCAGAGAAGGACACTGAGCTGGGACAAGTGTCTCACTGTTGGCTATTTGGAAAGTCTGGATGGTTGTGCTTAGGGACAGCAGGCTTCAGCTCCTTCGGGAGACAGGACAGGTCAGTGTCTCTGCCCTCACCTAATGCTCTGGACAGAAGTTCAAAAAGTAGCAGAAGCTACTAGGGTGCACTGATGTACAAGCCCACGCAGTCCCCTTCTTCCTGACTTCCTGCACAGAAGCAGACAAATAGGGCCCAGGGCTCTGATCAGACTCTTTTTATTATCTTTTTTATAAGTGGGCCTTAGTTAGAAAGCGATGGAAAGGGAAAAGCTGTGCTCTCTGGCTTCCATGCAAGCTCCTCGGTGACCCCAAGAGCCCCATGTGTCATCGCCGGGAGGGAAAGAAGGCCCATCCCTGCTCTTCTTGGCTCAAAGCCTCATTTATCAAGGTGAAAGGTTCCCTTACAGGCCCCTGGCCCAGGGACAACCCGTTTTCCATGGAACTCCTCCTATTCTCATTGTCTCAGCAAGGGTCATCTTGGTTCCTAGACACGGAGAGAGAGACAGAAGAAAGAGACTGTTGGTCCAGCTCCTGACCCAGGGTTAACAGGCTACAGGAGAGGATATGTCTCTTTCCACTTCAGCCTTTCTCCTGGGCCAGGACCAGTACAAGTTACCATCAAGTTGACTCCAACTCATGATGACCCCATGTGTGTCAGAGTAGAACTGTGCGCCATAGGGTTTTCTTTTATTTTGTTGAGAATATACACAGCAAAACATACACCAACAATTTCTATATGTACAATTCAGTGACACTGATTGCATTCTTCGAGTTGTGCAACCATTCTCACCCTCCTTTTCTGAGTCGTTCCTCCCCTATTAACATAAATTCACTGCCCTCTAAAGTTCCTATCTAATCTTTCAAGTTGCTGTTGTCACTTTGATCCCATATAAACAGTTCTCAAGAGAGCATAACACTCAAGGCCAACATTTTTTACTACTTAAGCTATTGTTCGGTTTTAAGAAGACTTCAGGGGATATTTTTGATTTAAGGTTTAAGGATTATCCCAGGGCAATAGTTTCAGGGGTTTATCCAACCTTCATGGCTCCAGGAAGTCGAGTCCATGAGAATCTGAAATTCTGTTCTTCATTTCCCCCTTTCGATCAGGATTCTTCTCAGAATCTTTGATCAAAATGTTCAGTAATGGTAGCCAGGCACCATTCAGTTCTTCTGGTCTCGTGGTAAAACAGGCAATTGTTCATGGAGGCAAACAGCCACACATTCTATATCCTCCTTCTATTCCTGACTCTCCTTTCTCTGTCACTCCAGGCAAACAGAGACCAACTGTTGTGCCTTGGCTGGCCACTTGCAAGCTTTTAAGATCCCAGGTACTACACAAGGAACTAGGAGGTAGAGCAGAAGCACTATACATGCTATTAGGCCAATTAACTGGGATGTCCCATGAAACCATGACCCCACATAGTTTTCAATGGCTGATCTTTCAGAAGTAGATCACCAGCCCTTTCTTCTCAGGAGCCTCTGGGTGGACTCAAACCTCCAACCTTTTGGTTAGCAGCCAAGCATGTTAACTGCTTGTACTACCTAGGCACCGGCGGGGGGGGGGATCCAGAATCCTCTGTCATGTGTCATTTTGTCCCCACTAGTTCACCAGGATTCCTCCTCTCACCCTCACTCACTAGGTCCCCTCCTTCTGACACTTTTCCTGCAGGCCCCTGTCTTCCTTCCTATTTTCAGTCACCCCTTGGCCCACCCGCCCTAGCCCACTACTCTCTAGCCCTCACCTCTTGACGCTTCTGTCCTGGCCTTTGGCTCTGACTCCGGCTGCGGCTGCGGCTCCGTCCGGGGCGCCAGGAGCCCCGAGAGCTGCCGGAGCCTCGCGAAGAGTTGCTGCCAGCAGTAGAACAGCTGCTGGTGCCCTGGCCCCGGGACAGGAAGCTGGGCCTGCTGTATGGGGGCCAGGACTCTTCTGCTGCGCAAGAGAGAAGGGGAGCTGGGCCCAGGCAGGAAGCTAAACCTCGGTGCTTCCCCACCTTCCCCCCCTGGCCACAGTCCCAGCTCTGGGAGAAGACTCAGGGCAGCCACATCCTGGGACTGAGGAGAAACCGAGTGCCAGCCCACCGCCCTGACATAGAGGTGCTCAGGGAAGTGCAGGCAATTCCCAAGCAGAGAGATCCTTGGAGCAGGAGAGACAAAGCACCCAGATCCCACTCTCCTCACATTTGGGCTTCCAGTCCTGGAAAAGGACACACTTGGGGACTTCAAAGATTTTGCTCTGAGGGAGCTAGAGAGACAAGTGAACCTTTGATGTTGATCAAATGCATGAACGCTACCAAAGGGGCAAGCTAGACTGAAAAGCCATGGATGACACAGCCTGTACTACCACCACCCTCCAGTCCCCAAACCCAGCTTCTCGAGTAGCGGTCGGCCCTCCCGCCTGCCCTGCCCTCTTACCTTCTGGGTGAGGGCACTGCCGGGCACCCAGGGGTCCCACCTGCCCAGCTCTCCTTTCCCCACTACGTTCCCGCTCCAACGAGGAGACACTGCCTGCTGTGCTCAAGCCTAAGGACCAGCTGGCCTCTTCCTCTGGTGGCGGCAAGGGTGGTGGGGGCAAGTCTAAAGAGAGGCCTGTCTTCAGCAGAATCTCCTGCTTCTCCTGATCCTAAGCTTTCTCCCACCCCCGCCCCCAGCTCCACGAGGCTGGAAACAAACAGTCCAAGATGTGGCTCACTGGGCCCTTCCTCCAGCCCCCAGAGCTCACTCTTGGTTTCCTGCCTGTCCCTCCTACTGTCACCACCTCCCAGACCCACGGCCACCTCACCCCCGGGACTGTGTTCCCGTCTGTAGGGAAGAGCTTTGGGTTTTTTCCGGAATCGGGCCCGGGGTCCTTGAAGTGGAGGGGTCATCTCCGCAAGCGCCTGCCGGGTCCTCCCTGTAGCATTAGGGGATGGACAGAGAGGCAGCTTAGGGGGAGGACAGGAAAGGAACGTGGGGCTGAAAGAGAAGCAAGCTCTGGAGAGGAAAATTCCAAGGCGGGGGTACCAGGAGGTGGGAGTGGGAGCTGAGGGCTCTACAGACTCACCTGGGGCACTGCTGGCGGACCCAAGGACAGGGCTGGGGTTGAGGTGATGGGAGGCTGCAGGACCAGCACCCAGGCCAGCAAACCCTCCTTCATGGCTACTCAGAAGGGGCTGGGATGCACTGAGAGGGGAACTGGGCCCAACGGGCACCCTCCTGTAATGACAAGAGGCTTCTGCATTTGTTCACCTGACAAACACCAAGCACCTACTATGTCCCAGGCACTGTGCTAGACACTCAGGCTAATACTCAGATGAACAAGATACAGCCACTCCCCAACAAGGGCTTCCAAAGGAGTGAATCATGGAGAGCGCTATGTCTTTGAAATGTTCCAGGAAGTCTGCAGAGTCACTCGAGGAGAGCCAGTCTGAACACACTGAAACACCTTGTCAGCTCTTGCTTTCCTCCCCAAATCTCACTTCTACCCTGACCCAGCCCTGAGACCTCTGTTCCCCAGATTCATCCCCCCATCCATCCATCTGTCCATCCCTCCATCCAATCACCCAGTGAACAGGTCTGTACTGAGTGCTCATAATGTGCAAAGAACTCTAGCCCTCCCTACCTGGCCACCTGAGGAAGACAGGGAATGCCAGTGGGTGGCTGGGGGAGGTTAGGAGATGAGGGGGTGAGAGTGGCTGTGGACTGCTGTCCATAGGAGGGGGTGGGAGAGGGGGTTTCCCCTCTGGACGAGGCGACCAGGCACCCTCCACTGGAGCTGGGCTCTGTCAAGTGGCTTCTCTCGGGCATTGGAGAGCACCACTCTTCTGGCTCTGAGCTGGGGGCAAAACGGCAGGAGAGCAGGGGTGGAATAGGTAGGTTCTTACCTTCCCCTCAGCCTCCCTGCTGCCCTCTTGTCTTCCCCTCCCAGCCCTGCTGCCCAGCCCTGGGAGCTGGGAGTGGAAGCCAGGTCCCATGTGGGCAGGGCGTCTGCAGGGCCAGCATCCTTACCTGCCCTCCAGCTCCTCCTCAGTCCCCTCGAGACAGCTCAGCTCACAGGAAGGGGGAGGCGGTGGCAGGGCTTCTGGCCAGTTGAGACAGGGCATTTGCACAGGCTTTCCCAGAAGCTTCACTTTGCCTCCTCTGGCTCCTGAGGAGATTGGGATGGAGGCACACAGAGATACACGAGGGAAAGAGCCAGAGACGGGCCACGTGTCAGAGGAAGGGCTGGGTGGAGGAGGAAGCTTTGGGGGCTACTCTGGTCAGGGCTAAAGTGGGGGTGTTGGGATCAGAGTCATACCACTGTCCCCCTGGCTCCATTCTGGAGGAGCATACGGGCTCCAGGTGCCTGGATCCCCGGGGGGTTGTTGGGGGAAGCCCCCATGGAAGGTCCGCAGCTCCTCCCCAGCGGGGTCAATGGTACTGTAAACAGGACCCTCACCAGAAGCAGCAGGGCCCCGGGCCGTCTGAGCCAGGTAGAGGGAGATCCCTGCTTCTGTGGAGGAGAAAGAGGGAGGCCCAGGGGAAGAGACAGGGGCCAGAGATAGAAGACAGGGAACCACAGGAGAACGGAAGGCAAAAGGAAGTCCTGCTGGATCCATTTCTTCCTCCACCCCAAACCTTATGGCCCAAGGCAGGGCATTCAAAGAAGTCAGGTCTGAGAGAGGATCCCTGGACTCACATCCTCCCCAAGGGCTGACCAACCTCTCCCAAAGGGCTGACCAACCTGAGGAAGGCCGGGATTCCTCGGTTCCCTTCAGTTTTCCCCAGTAGGTTGAGAAGAGAGAAGGGTGCTGGGAGGCAGGTGTGCCCCTGAGGGAATTAAAACTCCTCACCATTGTAGTATCTGTCATCTGGGTCAGGATTGCTGGGGCAGCAGCTTCCCCTGGGTTCCTGGGCTGAGGGGCTTCGAGATGGGTGGGGCCACGAGTCTGCCAGCCATGGGTAGGGGGCAGGGCCAAGGCCCACGGGTGGCCTGAGGAAGAGCATGTGAGCTTTGGGGATGGAGAGTCTCAAGAGGCCAGCAAAGGTAAGGCAGTCGTAGGTCGGTTATAGCAGTGTTTAGGGCGAGAGTGAGAGATGGTCAGCATGGGACAGGCAGTGAGGCCTGCAGAGGAAGGAGCGCGGTTTCTTCTTTGAGCGGACGGTCCCTGGGTTAAGAGAATTACCTGGAACTGGCTCCAGAGAGGCCCTCTGAGTGTGGGAAGGACACTGGGGAAGACGAGGAGACCGGGTGAGAAAAGAGCCCGTTCTTGGGGTCTCAACCCCAGTGGGCAGAGATGGCTTACCTGCAGGGGTGTAGGCAAAGGAGGCTTCCGAAAAGGAACGCATGGGAAAAAGAAGAGGGGAGACGGGAGAAGGGTCAGAAATACCCATATTCTCGCCCGCCCCTCAGCCCTGGCCCCATTCCACCACCCAGGCTATCATTGGAATTTCTGGGGCTGGGACTCAGGCAGCAGTATTTTTCTAAAACTAATTCCTAGGTGTAGCCAAGGTTGAGAACCAGTGAGCTCAGAAACCTCAGCATCTCTCCCGGGAAGCTGAGCTCAGATCTCCCCCTTTGAGCAAGCCCCGCCCCTTCACCCAGACCCCGCCTCCCAGTGACGCCCCCGATCTTGGCCCCGCCCCTCCTGCCAGGCCCCGCCCTTCCTTGAAGTGACAATCTGGGCGTTCTCGCCTCCAGACTAGCCCCTTCTACACTGGGGCCGAGCGGCACACGGTGCCCTCTTCCGGAGGCGCCTCCCGAGGCCCAGCGCCCGCCCCCTTCACGTAGTGCTGAGCTCTTGACCCTGACCCCTCTGAGACC